TTCTTAAAACATGAACATAGCAGATTTCATGCACTTGCTTAAACATGCTTACACAGCTGTAAAAATCCCCCCAGAAATCTAGTAAATAAATAAAAATAATGCTTGGAAAACGAGAATACGTAATTTAAGATAGGAAAAGACATCATTAAGGGCTTCCTGGTATGCTTTCATTAATTAATTCAGAGAAGTGACCAGTTCATTTATTATCACTATCATTGTTACTAAATTGAGTATGGAATATAGGATAGTTACCATACACACAGACACACACACACATGCAAATGTTCACACACAGAGACATATGCATAGCACACACATAGACATATACAGACACACATGTACATATACACTGACATATACATTATACATACATGTACATACATACAAACACATACAGTGACATACACATATATGTACACACATAGATATAAAAACATAAACATACACAGATATTAAATACACACATACACAGTACATATACAAACACACATACATACATACACAGCACACATAAACACATATAACATACATATACAGAGACAAAACAAATACATACAAACACAAACATATATATAGACACATACATGTAAACAGAAACACACATAGACACACACAAACACTGACACATATATGCTCACATACTCATACACAGATACACATACAAACAGAAACACACACTGGCACACAGACATATACACAGAGACACATACACTCACACACTTATACACCCAGACACAGACATGTACACACACATACAGAGACTCATTTTTATGCATATATACAAGCACATGTATACACACAGGACATACAGAGAGATATAACACAAACAAACACAGAACAGACATAATGCTGTAGTACAATTATTATTTATGGACAATGAAAGGGTCTTTTTCCCTTTGGAAAATATTCATATTTCTATATTGCACTGTAATATAATAGTATAATATATATTATATATGTTGCTAAACCTTTTAGTAAATTATCCTTTAATATAGACTTAGATTGAAGAGTAACAAAATGTACCATCTTAAGCATCTCTTTCCCTCTCTTCCCTTTCGCTCCCTGTTCCCTTCCTCTCTTTGGGATAGTCTCCTGTAGCCCATGCCGGCCTTGAACTCTGTACACAGGATGCCTGTGAACTCCTTGCCCTATGGCTTCCAGTTTTGAATTGCTGGGATGGCAGATGTGCACTAGCATGTCCCAGCTCTCCTATGTATCAATTTTCACTGTGGACAGAAGCTGGGTTGAAAATCATAGTTTGACAAAAACATATTTAAGAATTATAATGGCCACTGTGATAATAACCATTTTAATTTTCATCTTTTCAAAATGCTGTATTGTTCATACAGCAATGTATATGCTATTTTGACTTCAGAAGTCATTGTGATATACATAAATTCTGTCAAAGACAGAAAAGAAAACTCAGCCAAAAGCTAGTGTGCCAAATGGACTCAGATTTAATTTGGGCGTTCAAGCATCAGAAATTAAGCAATACTATATTTTAATCATCTCTTTAAAAATCAGAATCATATTCATAGACTAAAATAAATTTGTTACAGCCATAGTAAAATTTTACATCGTATTTAACTAAAAAGACTGGGATTAAGGAAATCCAGATTTTATAAAATCTCACTGTAGTTCTTGTGGACTTGCAAGAATTTTTTTTATTTTGTTACCTTTTGTATATAGTTTTATTGTAAAAACAGAAGCTTTAGAAGAAAACAGTTGTAAAGTTTTTGGTCTCAGGAGTCCCCAGAGTGTCAGAACTACCATGAAGTCTAGTGCAAATGGCTACAGATGTGGTCGCAGAGGCTGTTATGCTAAATATGGATATTTACAAAGCATGAATTTTCTCCTGGTTAATCTAAAATATTCACTAAGGGTCTGTTAACCCTAGTTCATGTAGGGAAGGGATATAGATGGATTGAAATGCACAGGTTAATTAGAACAGACTTATAAATAATAACGGCCATAATAATAGTAACCATTTTGATTTTCAACTTTTGAAATGATGCATTGTTCACACAGCAAGGTATATACTATTTATCCAGAGCTGTTAATTACTGTAGTATAAGTAATTAGTACCAATTCCAAGTTAGAGATTAAAAACTAAGCATTAGACACAGCCAATTAACAACTAGCACAAGCCTGTCTCAAAACAAACTTGAAGAGACACCTTCCAACACAAAGAAAATGACAGAACTATGCAGTATTCTTAGCAGGGCAGTTTTCCTCTGTATGATCCTGACCTTGGGCTTTGGTCTTTCTGTTCCTAACAATAATAAAAATACGTGCTAGCAACATCTGCAAATAAAGCCTAGTGACAATGCCATTTTTTCTTTGCTAATTGCTTTAAAGTTTCTTATAAACTGGCCTTCTTTCAGGAAAACACTCTCTCTTTGCTAAACTAAATGAAGCTCTGTCCTATTACAGTGAAGATGATGGAGTAAGGACAAGTGTCTGCTAGTAAGCATTATATAAAGCACTTTCTACATGGAAGCAAGGGCATCAAGAATTAGACATGGAAGGGAGTGTGTTCCATTCTTAGCAGCTGCTTTCTACCCAGAGGAGCTGTGCAAATCCCTTGGGATCTGCAACCTTCCAATCAAGGGAGAAAACGTGAAAAGAAAATACATGGGTATACAGCACAGAGCATGGGTCTCCTGGGTACCTTTTGAGGAATGTGTCCAGGAAGCAACTTATAGGGAAACAAACTTCAGGTCAGAGAGGAATTCCAGTCTACTTCTTAACAATAGCCACATGCTACTGGGTTACCAGACAGCATCACAGAACTGCTTTGAAGAAAAACAACTGAGGCTCAGAGTTGGTGGAAGACACAGTAACATGAACATTGACATAAAATTTAAAAATGCCATAGTGAGAGCCATCTTCCAGTTAACTCGCCAAAATTACGAACACAAAGGGAAAGAGGAGAGGCACTCGGTATATGTTCTCTAGGCCTTTTAGGAAACATGGAGTTGTTCCTTTGGCCACATACATGCGAATCTATAAGAAGGGTGATATTGTAGACATCAAGGGAATGGATGCTGTTCAAAAAGGAATGCCCCATAAGTGTTACCACGGCAAAACCGGAAGAGTCTACAATGTCACCCAGCATGCCGTGGGCATCATTGTAAACAAGCAGGTTAAGGGCAAGATTCTGGCCAAGAGGATCAATGTGTGGATTGAGGACATTAAACACTCGAAGAGCAGAGACAGCTTCCTGAAGCGGGTGAAGGAGAACGATCAGAAGAAAAAGGAAGCCAAAGAGAAAGCACCTGGGTTCAGCTGAAGCGCCAGCCTGCACCACCCAGAGAAGCACACTTTGTGAGGACTAATGGGAAAGAGCCCGAGCTGCTGGAGCCCATTCCATACGAATTCATGGCCTAGTGTATAAAAGAAATAAAGGACCCAACTGCAGAGTTTTTCCTTAGGTTCAAAAAAAAAATGCCATAGTGAAATCCATTGGTAGGCATAATCAACATATGCTAATAAAAATTTAAAAGAAAACCCTAATAAAGCTATATTTATATATGCATAAAGATAAAATATATCAAAATTAAGTGTCTGGTGAAAAACAAACACATGCCCTGCACCTCTGCCCTACCACAGGTTCAGGAATCACTTATAAACTGTATCTTCCCATTTTAACCTGTCTTCAACATATTTTGAACTTCGTTTTTTTCTTTTTCTCCCATATATATTAAAATTAGAAAGACTATTATCTAACTTGTTTACTCAAAATTACTGAGTATGGTATTCTCCCAATATCCTGGCAACAGCTAAAAAGATGAGAGAATTAAGACCCCCCCTAAAACTGAGCAATTAAAAAGGAAAATAATTTGCCTAAAGTTACATAAATCAATGATACCACTTATTAAAACACACAAAAATAAACATTCCATATACATTGTATTATACAATATTACATTACACCAGTGTTCTGATAACTAGTTTTAGAAACAAAATCTATTCGGTAAACCTTTGTGCTTGATTCATTTCATTGCTCAATGATACAGTTATATGTTCGCTGTTTTTCAATAGTGTTTCAGATGTAGCAAGTTTATAGACATGCCCTCTTAGAACAGCATCAGTTTCTATAAGCTTTCACTTAATTACACTTATTGAAAGGAGTATGTAATTTATATAATTAAAAAGAAGATGGCATGTTCCCTAATTACAAACTAGCTTCCGTGCTGTTTTGTTACTGCAGACATGATGCATCATTCACACCCAGTTCTCACACAGAACCCTTTTTGTAAGTCACTGTAGAAATTTCTGCTCTGAGCAGTGCTGTCCGCACAGAGATCGCAGCAGCAGGGGTACCTGTCTCTTACCAGTGTCTTCTACATACAGACCTTCCACACAGGAGTGTCCATATCTTAACAATATATTCTGCATAGAGACAATCACTGTGTGTGTATGTGACCCTCAGGAGTGTCTTCTACATAGAGACCCTCCACACAGGAGTACCTGCTTCTCAGCATGACTTCTGCATTGGCATTTTCCACACAGGAGTACCTACCTCTCAGCAGTGCCTTCTAGATGGGGACCCCACACACAGGTATACCTGACTCTCAGTAGTGCTTTCTACATGGGAACCGTTCATACAAGAGTATCTGCCTCTCAGCAATGACTTCTGCATTGGGACTTTCTACACAGAAGTATCCATCTCTCAGCAGTGCCTTCTGCATGAGGATTTTCCATAGAGGAGGACTCATCTCTCAGCAGTGTATTCTGCACTGAGAAACCTTCATACATGAGTATTCATTTCTCAAAAGTACCTTCTGGATAGGGACCCTCCATATAAGAGTATGGTCCATTCATCAGTGTCTTCTGCAAAGAGACCCTCCACACAGGAGTACCAGCCTCTCAGCAGTGTCTTTTGCAATGACATCCTCCATACAGGAGTGCCTGACTCTCAGCAGTGTCTTCTGCATGGGGACCATCCACTCAGGAATACCCAACTCTCAGCAATGTCTTCTCTATGGAGACGTTACCTTGGCAGGTTTGTTGGCATCCATGCTCTCTTTGAATTTCTCCTGCACAGTCGCTGCAAGCTGACACAGCAAGGCACCATTATCCAACTTCTCCATGAAAGTTTCTGCTGTTATCTCTTTCCCTGAAATAACACAATGGAGAATTACAAAAATATTTTCTTTCCCTAGCACAGACATCAGATTAGAGCATTATTTCCCTAGCACAGACATCAGAATAAAGAACATTATTTCATTAGAAGTGTCTTCTATTCTCTCTTAATGAATTCTATGAAATGGCCACAAGCATGGTTTCTTTAGCATTTTATGTTTTCATTTCATGGTTGGAACCTCAATACTTTATATGCATTCTCACTGTACAAAAATTGTATTTCATTTTAATTTGACAAATGGTATCTTGGATAAAACATTCCCACCATTTAGCAACCAGGGAAAATGAAAACCAGTCAATGAAACTCCAAGAACTAGACTTCACAGGGATTATATATTAACAGAAATAACAAAGCAAAATGTATTAGACATAAATACAATGGATTTCTCTGCATGTAAAAAGTTCTCATTCTTGGTAGCCCACTCAATTATTTTGGCCTAAAAAATAGACCTGGTATGTCATATGACATTATTTAATTATCACAACAACAGCTCAATTGAGAGAGTACATGTCTACCATGCAGAAAAGCATAGGTTCACTCCCTAGCAACACATATGAAAATTCTTCTCTTTTTAAATTGGATATTCTAATTATTCACATTTCAGATGTTATCCACTTTCTCCAAACCCTCCCCCACCCAGGAACTCCCTACCCTGTTCCCCCTCCTGCTGCTTCTATGAGGGTGTACCCCCACCCACCCACTCCCACCTCCCCACCCTCAAAATCTCCCTGCATACTGGGGCATCCTGACTTCACAGGACAAAGGACTTCCTCTCCCAACAATGCCTGACCAGGCCATCCTCCACCGCAAATACAGCTGGAGCCATGGGCCCCTCCATGTGTGTTCCCAGACTGGTGGTTTAGACCCTGGGAACTCTGGTTGGTTGGTATTGTGGCTCTCCCAATGGGGCCGCAAGCCCCTTCAGCTTTGTCAGTCTTCTCTTTACCTCCTCCATTGGGAACCCCATGATAGGTTCAATGGTTAGCTGTGAACATTTGTCTCTGTATATGTCAGATTCTGACAGAGCCTCTCAGGATACAGGTATATCAGATTCCTGTCAGCATACACTTCCTGGCACTCACAACAGTGCCTGCATTTGTTGACTACACATGGGACAGATCCCCAGGTAGGGCACTCTCCAGATGGCCTCTCCTCTAGTCTCTGCTCCACACTTTGTCTCTGTATTTGCTCCCTTAAGGATTTTGTTACTCCTAAGAAGAACCGAAACACCCATGCTTTCGTCTTCCATCTTCTTGAGTTTCATGTAGTCTGTGAGTTGTATCTTGGGTATTGTGAGCTTTTGGGCTAATATCCACTTATCAGTGAGTACATACCATGTGTGTTCTTTTGTGATTGGGTTACCTCATCAGGATGATATTTTCTAGTTACATCCATTTCCCTGAGAATTTCATAAGTTCATTGTTTTTAATAGCTGAGCAATACTCCATTGTGTAAATGTACCACATTTTCTATATCCATTCCTCTGTTGAGGACATCTGGATTTTTTCCAGCTTCTGGCTATTATAAATAAGACTGCTATGAACATAGTGGATCATGTGTCCTTGTTATATGTTGGAGCATCTTTTGGGTATATGCCCAGGAGTGGCATAACTGTGTCCTCAGAAAATACTATGTCTAATTTTCTGAGGATCCACCAGACTGATTTCCAGAGTGCTTGTACCAGCTTGCAATCCCACCAACAATGGAGGAGTGTTCCTCTTTCTCCACATCCTCGCCAGCATCTACTATCACCTGAGTCTTTGATCTTAGCCATTCTGACTGGTGTGAGGTGGAATCTCAGGCTTGTTTAGATTTCATTTCCTTGATGACTAAGGATGTTGAATATTTCTTTAAGTGCTTTTCGATCATTCGAGTTTCCACAGTTGAGAATTGTTTGTTTAGCTCTGTACTCCACTTTTAATAGGGTTATTTGACTGTCTGGAGTCTAATTTCTTGAGTTCTTTGTATATATTGGATATTAGCCCTCTATTAGATGTAGGATTGGCAAAGATCTTTTCCCAATCTGTTGGTTGCCGTTTAGTCCTATTGACAGTGTCCTTTACCTTACAGAAACTTTGCAATTTTATGAAGTCCCATTTGTCAATTCTTGACCTTAGGACATTAGCCATATGTGGTGGCACAGAACCACAATCAAAGCATTCAAACAGAAGAGGCAGGAGAATCAGTAGCTCAAGATCATCCTTGGCTACATTTCATGCTGAAAGCCAGCCTGGGATACATGGGTCTCTACTAAAAAATGACAAGGACAGCAACAGCAACAATAACAACAACAACAAAATCAAAACAAACACTGATTTTGGTATGATGGGTCAACTGTAAAGTGCTTGACAAGCAAGCATGAGTACCTGAGTCCAGGGCCCTAGCAGGAGGGAGGGGAAAAGGGAAGGAGGGAGAAAGGGAGAGAAAGAGAAAGGGAGGGTGAGATGAAGAGAGGGAGGGAAGAAGGGAAGGGGGAAGATAAGAAGGAGGGAGGAGAGAAGGAGGGGAGAGAAAAGACAGACAGGCAGGCAGGCAAGCAGACAGGGAGAGAGAGAGAGAGAGAGAGAGACCTGTAAAATGCTAGGGTTCAGGTTTGTAACTCTGGCACTGAGGAGGCAAAGACAAGAGGCCCTCTGGACTTTGCTAGCACTGGTTTAGCTGAGTTGGTGGTTCTGGGTTCAGTGAGAAACCCCGTCTGAACAATACGGTGAAAGGCAGCTGAGGAGTACATCTGATGTGGATCTGACCTCCATAAGTTTAACCTTATGCAAACACAACATATGAGCCACCATATATGCACATGCATGAACATATACACAAACACACACACACATTTTTTGTTCTTTTTAAGGAGAACAATGGCACATAAATAAATGATCATTGACAACTAAGAAAGCCACTAAACCTCATCTAAACTACACTAAACCTCATCTTTAAACCCTACAAATGTGTTATTCTAGATTAAGATTCAGATAAGAGTGTTATAAAAGATAAACTCTAAGTAAAACATAAAAACCATTAGAGTATTGCCCTTCTGAGCACAGCCTTGAAATGGCAGTCAGGTCCAGAACTCAGCTTTGCTCCTCCCTCCCCGCAATGACCCTCAGAGAATCAGCATAGCTCTTAGAAGCTTATAGTCCTCAACCACCATAGCCATACGTGACTGGATCCCAGTTAGTTATTTACGTTTCTGAGATGATCCCAGACTATATTTTCTTTCTCCTTTTCCTCTTTAATTTTTAGATAGCTTTTTTGAGATGTATTTCACAGCCTTTCTCATTTGATGTTTTATAAATACCATGCATATATTCAGAAATGTACAGTCATCTTCATAATTTCAGAACATTTTAATCACATCACATGGAATTCAACAACATTTAGCTGCCACGATTCCTCAACCACGTAAATGCAAGCACCACTTGTGTCTTGCCATAGCTGCCACAAGGCAACTTTAGCACGCCCTCCTCTCCTTTGCTCTGGTCCTCGTTTTCAGTGATCTGGATTATTTTGTTAGTTCATTTGTTTGTTCTTGGGTTTTGGGCATTTTTTTTTCCTCCTTGATGTCCCAAAACCTGAAAGTTGCAAATCCTACTGATTCTTTTGCTCATCCCATTATGGTCTGATGACTAGCATGATGACAAGAGGCATGGGGGTTGTTTCCTAGGTGTGGACTCACTTTCTTCACTAAGACATCTTCACTGAGAACTCTCGATCCCACCTGTATTTTGCAAAACATATCAATACAACTTATCCCAATCTCCAATGGGCTCCAGCCATGCCTCTATTTAGCTATTCAAATGCTTCACAATCTGCCGGTGCTTCACATACTGCACAGACTTGATCAGACCCTTCACAGACTTTCCCTGACAGAATTCCATCTCCCTCCTCCGCTTCTCGGAACTGATTTCTCAGGGTTCACTACTCTCTTTTATATAGTCATTCTCACAGATAGCTCTGTTTGGGGTGCATGTCAAACATTTTCTTCCTTTACAAATTACATGTTTTGTATAAAGCTCTAGTTTCCTCAGTATTATGTAAACCTTTTGAGACGTGTCTTTTTAAATCTCCTACAGGCCGCGAATGTAGCTTAGTTGGTACACTGCTTGCCCAGCATATTCAAAGCCCTAGGTCCCAACTGAGCACTGTAAACAACAGCCTTGGAGCTGTACAGCTATAATCCCTGCACTCAGAAGGTACAGGCAGCAGGACCAGTTCACAGTCAAGGCCTTGTGTGTAAAAGATAAAATTTTTAAATAAAATCTCCTATAGAGGTAAGCATTGTATGATTCATGTGATGGGCACCAGGTAAATGCAACCAGCAAGCATGTGAATTAACAAATAAAACATCTAGAAAACCTTGACAAAACATTGGGGCTAACACAGGCTTACTTTCTTATCTTAAGAAAAGCACAGGGGATGCAATTCCATGGACACTTAAATATAGCCCACATAAGTCACAGAAAAACTACTGATTTACACTTACAGAATCCAATATTTAAATTTCTTTTTTAAAAAAGTCTGTTTGAAAGAGTCTGTTTGAAAGTCTATTTGAAAGAGAAAAAGTCTGCAGTGTGTGTGTGTGTGTGTGTGTGTGTGTGTGTGTGTGTGTACATGTCAGGGGGCATATATGAGAGGGGAAAGGAGTGAGTGAGTGAGTGAGTGAGTGAGTGAGTGAGTTAGTTAGTTAGTTCTTGCGTTCTCTTTGTCCCTGCTGAGTAGCTCACTTGCTATCCTCTGGTGAGGATAATGACTTCAGTAGGTGACAGAGCAGCAGTACTGTAAGTACAGACCGCAGAGGTTCTCCTGCACAGGCTGCTTTGCTTTAGAAGTGCATTGATTTCAGTTGACTCAGAAAGGAGGAGAGGAGTCTTGAAACACAAAAAGCCAGCAGGAGAGATTATATGCTGTGCTCTTATGTCAGTCCAATGAGGAGAACATTATCTTGAAAGCAGTCATGGCACATCAATACCAGA